CACAGTCAACAGAAATATGAATGGTTTAGTGACATTAGTGAGTAGTACTGGCAGAATCTGTCCTTTGCATTGACTGCAACCTCAGCCTCATACTCAGAATAGCTGAATATACTGTCACAGCAGCTGATGAGCTGTATCAATGCCAGCTTTACCAGTTGATAATATTTCCCATCCACTGTATTCATTTACAGGGTTATAATGAGTATTGATAGGAAGACCTTGAATTCTGACATTAGTGCAGTTGGCATGCTACATTTATCATTCTTCACTAACGTTGTTAAGACCAGGCATAATGATTTCAGTAATAGCTCAACATTACACTGAGTGGCTTCTGTTTGACAAACTGTGAAGTGGCGCTAGCAATGGCATACTGTTGAAATGATCATTTCCGACCCATGTAGAACAGTTATTGTAACTATGTATTCCCCACTGGTTAAATTATGACTAGAGTCTTGACTGTTCTGGGGAACAGGCAGCAGCTATATATTCCTGACCTCTCAACACAAGGTACCTAATCTTCTCTTCCCTCTTATACTCACAGGGTAACAAAGAGAGTAGTTACACAAATTCACATACAGAAGATGTAAGTACAAACAGAAAACATATTCAAATTCCCAGCCTTTCACCATTTTGCTGTTTCCCTCTTACAGTAATTTCTGGCCTTGGACAGATTTTATACAATTCAGTTGCATAACAGCCTTTCAGTGAACCATTAAATTGCTTACACATACCACAGATTTTTATGACAGATGATAAAAATAAAAAATGACAAAAGACCTTATTGAGGAAATGAAAGGGATTTATTGCCACATTAAAACCCCCAAATTATCCTAATTAAGACTGATCAAGAGGCCCAGGGATAGTGGTATATGAATTTTGTAGCTTTTAAAAATACTTCTTAGGTCATTTCAAACCTACTTTAAACTGAAAGGGGAGATTCAGGCTGGATGTGAGGAAAAAATTATTTACAATAAAGGTGGTAAAACACTGGCACAGGTTGCACAGAGAGGTGGTGGATGCTACGTTCAAGGCCAGACTGGATGTGGTTCTGGGCAACCTGAATTGAAGATGTCCCTGCTTATTGCAGAAGGGTTGGTTCCAACCCAAACTATTCTATGACTCTACTTCCAAGAATATATCAGAATATCTGGTCTCTCTTTCTCTACTAACTATAAAATCAATTCCAAATTTGAAAAAGTAACAAATATTAATTATTGAAGTAGTAATAAAGTACTCTGTGCATGTTAATTATTCGAGTGAAAAGGCTTTCATAAAAGAGAGGGATTCCTTCAAGTTCATGACAATAGGAGAACAAATGTTTCATTCTAAAGTTCTTCTAAACCTAATCTCAGAGTTTCTGGGTTAAAGACTAGTAGTTTCCCATTTTTATGAATATGCCTCGTCTATAGGTATTCATAGAATCTAACAGAAGAAAGTCTCAAAACTGAGTACAATCACATTGTATGGATATTTAATAAATACTGAATCATTTAAAAACTGTTTAAGAGGCATTCCTCAAATGTCAGGTTTTTTCAGTGTGTTTCAAAAAGTCTACTGACTCTGTTTGAAGAGTTCTAAAATTAGCACTCAGCATTCTGATACAGAGACAGATTCTTAACACCATCATTTTTTTATTTTTTTTGTTAAAAAACAGGAGCTGGAAGCAAAACACCTTGGATTTTCAAGAGGTACCCTAGCCAGTTTGCCCCTGCCCATCCCTTCCTCAATGGGGAAAAAACATTTTCATTTTTTTATGCCAAGTTCATGCTATGTCAACTGCTCAAGTCATTATCTTGGAACTTTGACAATTTTATCTGTTATTGGAAGACTTTTGCATAAACTGAACAATAGAATACTGGAAGAAAGAATGTTGCCCAGCTTTAATGAAAGGGGTTACCATTTTGTACCAGCAAAAAATATCATAATTTTAGATGCAATCCAAAGATGATCTATGATCTCATAAAAAAATTGTCTTCTAACACAGAAGTACATTGGCAGCTGAAATGTGGACTATTATATCCAAAACTGTTACTATGTGCACACAGTTTTACATGAAACATTTACAATGCTTTACTTCAAGCATACTTGCTAAGGAAAGCTTAAAAAAACCTTTGTTCTCTAGTACATAGAGAAGACCAAAGTGTATGAAGGGAGTTCAGATCCTTAAAGAGAGATTTTAAAAAGGCATGAGTTCACTGTAGAGATTATTTATTCCTGCAGTGAAAGTTACTGGAGGTGCTTCATATATGAAGACATAAAATTGAGAGTTCTGAGACTCAGGCAAAAGGGCAAGCTTCAAGTCTGGGTCCTGCTGAGGATGAAAAGTTCTATTTATGGCTTTGAAAAATGTGAAGTTGAGCCGTTCCAAGCTTTTGGGGAATTTTGCCCATCAGCAAGAATACAAAACATTGACTTTCTCAGTATGTTCCTTCATTTGTTTGCTTATTCCTGTACCAAAAGATATAACTTGCCTCAGTGACTGCAGTCAGCCTCAGAAGTCCTCCAACATTACCTGTGTGGCCATGACACAACCCTTTGACTGGTTAACAACCAGTTCTGTTGGCCTAAAGAGTAATGATTCATGTAAACTTCTAAACTAGGAAAGATATTTTTTTATTTTTCAGCAAAACATTTAAGAAGCTTTTGCCAGATTTTCCATCTTGTGTGCTTAAATTTCAAGTATTTAGAAGCTTTAGCAAACGTGGTTTTAAAACTCAAAGCAGTGTGTTTGAGCATAAGGGATCTCACTGACAGATGAATCCTATCAACCTTGTTAAGAACAAGGACTTACATTTAAGCACATGTTTGGGAACTTTGCTGTGTCAGACTTAAGTTTTAATAGATATTTTGCTTAATGTTTTTATTTACACGTGAAAGTTAGGTCTTTGGTTGTCATAGCTGTTCCCAGAACATGAGTGAGTAGTAGGGATGAGTTCTGTACTCAGAGTGATGAAACAATCACTGTCATTTCTCTTTTTATTAGCTAAGAACTTTAATACAAGCAAGGAAGCGTGCTTTTAGATACTTTTCCTGGTTTGACTTCATCTTACACTTTTCCCTACTTCACTGTATTTATCTGCCCAATTTTAACATTCCTCTATTGAGGAATCATTCAGAGAAAGGCCAGCATTTCCAGTAACAAGCTGAAGAGACTTACAAAATGACTCAAGATCCTTCTTTCTGTTATGACACAACACAGACAGATCATTAGACTTTGCAGCACATGCCTGAGAGATTATAATAGGAAGAACTTATTGAATAACAATTAGATTAATGGCCAGATACTGATTGATGGGCCAGGATACACTCACTAGAAAATTTCTACTAAATACTGAAAAAAAAAAAAATTTTTTTTCCAGCTTGTCATTGCATTTCATTCTCTAAGATATTTAATCTTTTGTCACTTTACAGATGTAATAACATTCACAGTCATCCAAAAGTAAAGTTCCCAGATTTCTGGGTTTTAGAAGAGAATCAGATGATTCTGAAATGAAAAAAATAATACTCAGAAAATGTAAGAAATCCTTAGCTAGAACAGATGTATATATATGTATGGTGTGTATATATATATATACGGTATATATATGGATAGAAAAATTTTGACCTACATTACGCCATTGACACTAATTAGAAGACTCCCAGTGATGTTAATAGTCATTGAAACAGTACTTCATTCAACTTGTTCCCTAAAGTATTCCTCAGGGAGTAACAGGCTGTCCATTGAAGTCTTGTGTATGACTGAAAGTCTATGCCTCTGTTTTACATATGTTCATTGAATTAAAATAAATCAATCTTCTATTATCCATGTGCTTAGTGCACTTTTATCAAAACTAGCAGTTTGCCTGAGTTGCAGTGGGTCATTCAGTCACTGAGTAGACTATGCTGGAAAATAAATGTGGGCAGCTGTACAAGATGCGTAAGAAGACTCAATAAGAAAAAAAACCCCTGTTAATGTATATTTCATGGGGCAAAAAAAGACTGCGATGTAGTTTAAATTCATAAGATCTTTCTGAAAATTTGTTTAGATTTTCTTCTTGGATTTTGGAAGTTCGCTAACATTTTGAAGAGCAAGAGGTATTCTCAATGCTCTGAAGTGGAACTGTTTGTCGCAACACTATTTCAAGAATTATATGACCTACAGAAGCAGACAGTGCTCAGTTATTTAAAAAATATTTCCCTTTAGAACTGAAAAATTAGAACTTTGGAACATGAGTTTAATGTCCGACATTTCAATCTACTACAGATGCAAAATAATACTGCTTCTTAGCAGGGAAAATATATTTCTGAGCAGCCAACAAAATGCTGAAGCAGCTGTAGAATGAGATTCCAACAAAGAACTATGACTAGTGATCAATTTGAAAGAGTACAAGAATTCCTGTACCTGTGCTTTTGGCCAACTCTGTACAGACACCTGAAAGACCTTCCAAAACAAGAATTGGTTTTCACTTCGATCTTATTTCCTGCACCATCGGCATAGAATACTTGAACAGAGCAGTCACTGTGGTTTTGTCTGCTTTTGCCTTCATGCAAGAAAGCCAGTGTTTTTAAATTTAGATGGTAATAATATGTTCCCTGTGACAGAATAATGTACAAAACCATTGTGAAATATGGCTTGCTTGAAGCTGACAGCAATGCAGCTGTTCACAGAGAGTCCTCTCGTTTCTTTTAAATCTAGAGCATCTGCCTTTCTAAAACACTTCAGTGTTAAGTTTCCCTAATGAAGACATTTAGCACTGCAGGAAGAAAAGACTTTTCCTGTGTTCTGGGAAGTATGGTTAAGACTGGGTGGGGAATAATATGAAATCTGAATATTCTAGGAAAAAAATAGTAAGGGAAAAGCCCAGAACAGGCTTTCATTACTGTAATTTAAGCTGGAATCTTTTCAACCAGTGCTGAAGCAGTTTGCTGACAGTGCTAGAAGACAAAATTGTCTTGGGAGAAAGGAATCACAGGTTTGATGTGGTAGCTGACCGAAAGTTACAGTGGGGTTAGAGGCACTTTAATGAGCAAAACATCTCCAGTGTATTTGTTTCTGGTGTCTAGAGGTCTCCTCCAACATTTCCAATTAAAAACCTGTATTGGAATTTTCTTCTACAGGGTAGGAAAAAAAAAAAAAGAAACCTTTGCCACAGAGAGAAGTTGATTTGCAGATATTCATCTGGTTCTTCATTTAGAAAACTGAGTCCAATTCTGAGCATTACGTGGGTTTTCACAGTTGCATACAGATACTATTAATGATCCAGGCGCCTGTCAGTGAAGATATGATTTTCATGGTTAAAATAGGAAATGCATTCATCTGTTTTACATAATACAAACAGACCTGGATAGAGCCCAAAGGGTCCATCCTTGTATTCCTATGCAGCTTGAAAAGAAAAAAGTGAAGGAGTTTCAAGGGAGAGCAGTAACAGAAGCTGAAAGGAAATAACCGTTTTCTTCCTCAGACTGAGCTGCTGCAGTCTGTGTGCACCGACCAACAACAGCACTCAGGGGTAAGTAGCAAGGAATAGAACACATGAATAGAGAAATGGATAAATACTTCCTGCTATTGATGCCTTATTTTGTTAAACTGATCTATCGTATTTACTTGGAGTTTTAACTGAGGTGAGTTATTATCTTTATTTATTATAATGTTAGGGATATTATTTACCGTAAAGTTTTGGGGATTTTTGAGGTATTTCTCAGATTCCATATGAAGGCTGTACAGCTAGTTTTTAACATGAAGAAATTAGGAGTCCTGTGATATTTTGCTTGTGATACAATATGCCAGAATGTGTTCTCTCTGTGATCATTAGGAATATAGGAAAAAAATTCCACTGGCTATATTTTAGCTGAAAAAGTAGGATTGTTCTTTCATACTTGGTGCTCGCAAATCACACATTTCATAACCGTGAAGGTATTCCTCCAAAACTAGCAATCGGTGATGGTGGCAGATTAATTTCATAACTGTCTGTTACACAGGCTTCATTTCAATACTGATATATCTGCTTTTTCAGTAGAGAGAGGGATTTATGTCACAGTTATGTTATGGAGAAGGTGGGGCTGGAGCAGGGAAGAGGGAATGTTTTCCACTGCAAGTGTCCCAGTGCTTTTATTTGAGACATGATTTGGGCATCTGGTCTCTTTCCTCCTGCCACTGCTCAGAAAAAGAGTTTCTCTAAAAAAGCCAACAGTGTAAGAAAGTTTATTTCTATGAAACCTTTAGATCTGCTCAGGTAATCTAACAGTTGTCCAGAATGACTATGGCTGCATTTTGCTGTAGAGTTTGAAGATGCCACATGTTTTTATGCTACCTAGTGCTTAAGATATTGATGTATATTCATTGTCAACCTATAACAGCAGAAAAAGCCAACCCCAAACAACCCAAACAGTTGAAAAGCAACGTACAATTTTACAAAAGAGGAACTTTTTCACTAATGTGTAAATCAACATTTTGAAGTGTTCAGAGGGAGGTTTCTCGTGCCTGGTGAAATTAAATTCGCATACTTTAAAATAAATTCAACAATTCCCTTCCTCTCTCACTCTTCCTACACATTATTCATCTGACACGGAGAAAAGCTGTTCTGTGGCTTCCACACAAAAGCAAAGTGAAAAGAAAGCCAAAGATGTTTTAGTTAAATAACCATTCTTCTTCAGGATCCTTTTAAAGCACAAAACAAAATGCTCTCCAGATACTCAGGAAACATATATGTAGTTTCAGATAATTACATGTTCTATACTGGTAAGCCACTATATTAAGAGCACATTAAGATTTTAAAGGCAAACACTAAAAAGCAAGGAAATGCCAGAATTCTGGTTGCCTATGCAACCTTCATTTGGCTCCTTGTGCATATACTTTATGATGCATCCTTGAAATGCATGTTCACACACATTTTTCCCCAGTAATCTATGAAGGCAGAAGTATTAATATATTCAGCAGCTTTTATCTAGTGCCTATCACTACAGTACCTGCTCTACAAAAGCTCTGAGCAGCGTGGGGCTGGTGTGTCCACCTTACATAGTTAATGGGTGTGCAGAGCATCAGAGAGAGGTTTAAAATGACTAATTTTGACTGCCTCACTTGAGACATGTGTACTATCATCTTCCAGAACCATTAAACAAGGCAGCATTTTATATGCTTAGAAAATAATGTCTACTAAATTCTGTTGTGGATATTTGTCTATCTGACGATTTGCACATCAACTGTAGTTTAAAGATGAGCACCCTGTTTAAATGACTTATTCCATTCCCCCATGAGCAATCTGGCAGGGGCAAGGAGAAACCCCACTTTTCCAAGGCCTCTTCTCTATCTACTTCTTCCCACATTTCCCTGATCCATTCACAACTTTTGCAGCAAAGCCATCATACAGTTTCTCAGTGAATGACTATAGAATATCACATTAAGATGACAGAGCCAATGGTGTGCATGTGTGTGTCCTAGAAAAGACTTCAGAATATAAGCCAGCCCCAGACCTTTTGCCACACAGATCAACATCACTGTTTCAGCAGCAGCATTTCAGCCAGTAGAACTACTTCAGAGAACAACAGCATAACTGAACTGAACCAGCAGATAGGGATGAATGTAAAACTTTTACCACCACCCATCAGTGTTTTCCAACAGAAAAACAGTGGTCCAAAATCCTGGATTCCGTTTGAAGCTCTGGGCAAAATCGTGCTTTGAGTTTAACTTTTTTTCTTTCCTTTTAAATCTCTCCAGCTGAGTTTTGTCTCTATTGAAATTTTGGCTCCGGATCTTTCTTTCTTACTTCTAATCCTACACTTCACCATTCCCAGGCACAATTTTTCTCCTCTTAAATCCAAGACTGAGACAAAGTTTTAGGACATGCGCTTTGAAGGCAAAGCTGATTAAGAAGCTGTTCTGCCTTTACCTATTTGTTTCCATTCCCACATGTAGTTCATCATCTGCACTCAGCTGCTTGTCCTAAATTTTTGTTCACTGAATGGTTTCTGAGGCAATGTTGTGAGGTGTAGCACTGAAATAACCCATCTTATTTATTTGTCTTTAAAAAAGAACTAAATTTACATATTAAAGGGTTAAGGAGACTCTCAGTGCCTTTTGGGGATAACAGCTTTTTCAAGTAAACCTAGATAAAGTATTTTAATCTCCCTTTAAATGAACAATATGGGTTTTACCATTAGATTTAGAGTGTTAGTCAATAGATTGAATCTATGATGTGTAATTCCTAATAGCACCAATCTTCATACCTGTAAAAAATCTATAGTGGCTATGTTGCAAGCATGAAATGTTATACACAAGTGCATGCTATGACTGCTATATTATTATTGATATTACGAATTGATAAATTATACTTGATTAATTTATGGATCTCAAATGTGTGGAAATATTTTGTCCACCACCAACCGCTTGTTCTGCTGGCAATCCACCACTATTTAGCGATTATAAAGCAACCCCGAGTTAACAGAATGTGATTTACATAGGTTTTAGAGGGTTGAAAAGGAGTTGGTTTATAGTAGACTTCATACGGCTAACATCATACTATTTACTTCGGTGTGGTCTTGTCACAGAGACAATTGCCCAATACAACTTCAGACTTGAGTGACTGGAACACTTCTCCTCACTGTCCTTGTGGTGTTAGAGGTGAACAAATCTCAGCTGAGAGTGGGGAGAAGACTTTCAATTTTGTGTTAGCAGCTTTTTCCTGGTCTGTGGTTTTGACCTGAACGCTTAACAGGCACTTGTGGTAAAGAGAATGGAGTACACAGCTGTTTGGAGGAAGAAATCTACTAACCTGGGGAAGTGGAAACATTTTTCTGAGTGAACAGACATAATCTGAAATCTAATTAAGTACAGGAGGTATGAAAATCCTGAAGGCCCATGCGGCGAACTGGATTAGATTGCTCTTTGATTTGCAGCAGTCACTTTACCTTATTATTGCAGTTTGCCTTTGCTATTTCTAATCTCCATAAGAGATGTCTGAGAGAGGTAACTCTGCAATGGTTTGACATTTTACATCCTCTTTTGCACTTCTGAATAAAGACTCACTTTTCACTGAAGCAGCTGGTAAGGAACCTAATAGTGAAAATGCATTAACTGAATTAGATGACTGACTGATCTGATTTAGACAAAAGTTCCTACTATGACCTGGGAAAATTTCCTCATTTTTTTCCAAGAATTAAACAAGAAGGTTTTATTTTACCTTAAAAAATTTGAAAATTATGGATTTTTTCATGGCACAAGAAATCCTGTTACTGTGTATTTCTAATATTTATGAATGCACTTCCATTTGATGTATTTTTTTTTCCTTGTTTTTTACTGGTGAGTCCTGTGGCAGATGCTCAATAGATAAAATCACTAATAAACTGATTTCATAAGACCTGTAACAATTTATAACACTGATGGTCAATCTGCCCTTGAAAAAGTATTTTTAAAAGTGCTTAGTTCTCTGTGGTAGGAAAGTTTTGTGGTTACGACACTGGGCTAAGAAAAGGATCTATTCTATAACCAATTCTTCAAAACTTTGGAAAAATCATTAAAATCTATGCCTCAGTCTGTCTTGTAAAGTTTGACTGATGCCTTCCTGAGTATTTAAATTGCCATCTCTTCAGAAAGACAATAATTTATCAGTTATTTTCTTGGTAGTTTCTACAGCAAGTTGCAGATCTGCAGCTTTTACAGAAATCAGTCTTGAATTCTAAGAGGCTAGTTTATAAAAATGTTATTCATTATTGGCATGATCACAGGTCCCATCACTGTAGATAATCTTGAGCCATATACCAATAAGGGCTGCTTTGCTGTGAGTAGTGATCACACAATCATCACGTTAAGTCAGAGATCTAAAACAAGAATGAAGATGTCAGAGCTACCTAGCAGCAAATGTAAATTTAATCTTAAGATAAAAGCATATCAAGTATACCCAAGTGGCTTATTGCCAGAGATGCTAATTAGAAAGAACTGTATTATGCACACAGGCGTTTGTTCCAAATGGCTCTTCGGGGACCAGGTTAAGGCAGTGTTTCTCATGTGTGGTTTGTTCTGGTTTTCAGAGGTTGTTAATATTTGCATAACCATCTCAGTGAAAAAAATATGTCAAGCAAGTAAAATAGACTTAAATGTGACTCTAGAAATGTCAGTTTTCACTGAAAGCAACTTGTAAGACTTGAGGAGATGAAATTTTAAGGAAAAACTGTAAATTACAGACAAGTATTAACTGCCCTAATACAGCCTGGATCACTGCCTCTTCAGTACAAGTCACAGGGATAAATAATGTTAGATGCAGTAAATGACTGCT